ATGCCGGATTGTATCCGTAGCTAAACCGTTAAATCTGCGGATGTGTGATCTAGCCAAAACTCTACTCTATCTAACTTATCTAACTATCTAAGGTGAAATAATACGTTATCTTGTTAACAATATAAATTGTTGTAATGTTGTATACAATAAAACTATGGAGTTATATACCATAAAATTGTGTTCCGTTATTTAATGTGTTCTCCACCCCTAAATGTCCCAAAAGTGACATTACACCGGAAGTGGATTAGCTGTTTGGCTGTGCCGATATGTTTTCTGTTGTTATCTGTTTTACCAGAACCAGAAATTTCAAATCAATTGCACAAATCTCCGAGAATAGATTTCTATTCCATAGTGTTCCACGGTTGTGCAAACAAATTTCGATTTATAAAAGTCGTGAATTCCGTTTTGCTGTACCTGTTACGTGTACCAGGAAATATGCTCCCGATAAATCGATATTCCACTTTCTTATTATGTTAAAAACAAAACATAATAAAAAAAATATTTTGAATGAAAGGAGTTGAATTTTGAAAAACTCTAAGAAAGCAGAGAGTAAAAGTATGATTAAACGGGAATTTTTCTCATAAAAAGGCTATTTTTTAATTGCATCTTTACAACAGACTTAAAAATTCTATTTTTCAATACGTACAGGAATTAAATAATGCCAGATACAATGTTAAGGCGAACAATATTGCCAATGTCAGTAGAAAGTAGAGTAGATTTAACAATTCGTAGATTGAACTACTGTGCGTACTGTACGATGCCAGGAGTGACAATTGGCATCCCAAGAGTCTTCCCAAGAACGGCGCATTAATGTCATATTTCACAATATCACAAGCCCCAGAGCTACCTATTACCTTCCATGCACTGCCACAATACTCTATCATCGCCATAGATGAACATACTAGAAACGGCTAGAGAAAACTAAAGATGTGTCGAGCAGAAAAAAAAGAATGGGTAACAACTTAAAATTTATTCCAAGCTAATAATCCCGAATAATTACTTCAATTCCCAATTTTATGCGTTATTTTGCACCTATGCATTTTTTCGAGCTAACCTCATTCTGTTTCGATTGAGATTCAATACTCATTGACATATTGCTTTACTTTTACTTCTTTTTTCAGATCTCTGAAGATAATTGATCGTGAAGAAAAAAAAATTACACGTTTCATAAAAAAATATAACTTTATTATTAAAACATTGAATAATCAAAATAAATAAAACGCGATCTGGCTCGTTTCCAGTCTTATTTCAGAATTCGAGAATTCCGAACAGCTACAAGAGTGGACACTGGACAGTAACTTGCGCCAAGTTGAGACTTAAGTTGGACACATCTTTATAATAATTCTTTTTTGCATGTTAACAAGGCACATGGTATTAGAGAATTAACAAACTGAGAGTGAGTATCCATAAATCATATGCCTTTCTTGATTCTACGATAAATTCTTGGACGCATGGGTGTAAAAGAGATAAAATTGCATTTGAACAGATTAGACCACAGTAGATTTAAAGTAGTGGATCATGTACAAATACGCCCATATTCGATATGCGGTAAATGAAACGAGAACCCTTTTTAATTGATCTTCAATTTTGATCACATAGATCTACCTACCTACAATATTATGTGAAAAACGGTTGTAGCCGTACAGAGCTATGCCAATTTCAATTACAGGGGTAAATATCTCACTAGGGCGGTTGACGGAGAATATACTTGTCAATAAAAAATTGAAAAATTTCCTGTTTTGCAGATTTACTTGTCTGCGGTGCAGATGCAATTTAACAACGCTATTTGGTTGAGTACAATAGAAGGGTGAATACAAGGAATCTTGATTAAAATATTAATATCGGAAATCATTACTTATTGTTTGACATTTCAAGTCATGAAAAAGATTCTTCCAAATAAACAAGTTCGAAAGGAAAATAATACAATATAGGAAAATCACAAATCGATTTCTAATAATTAAAGGTATCTTAACTCTTAGGATGACCAAAAATTGAAACGTTTAAACTTGGCCAAAATGAGTCTTTGTTCATCAGCCTTTGTTCATTACTTTGTGTTATAATCATACAACAGAATCTCTCTATAATCCAATAAATCCATAAAACTAAGTAAATATTCATTAAACTAAGTAATTTTGAAACATGCTAAGAAGAGTGTTTCAATAATTTTTTAGGTTAGTGGATGTATCGTCTTATATATAGCAATTATTTTCTTTGGTCATTGCACCTGGTATATATACACTGTATATATATATATAAAC